TATTTCATATATATCTAGAATAGCTTGCTGCATGTTGATATTATAAAACATAAGAACAAGATTTTATATTAAAAAAACAGTCAAGATTTTTTACTGATAAAGGTTATTTTCAAATGGTTCTGAATGATGATCTCATTGTCAGAAATGAAATGAAACTAGTTGCAATGATGAAACGGTGAATTTATTGCATCATTTCAGCATTAATTTTGGTTTTATCTGTTTTTTTGTTTCACCTATGGGTTTAGCTACAGACTCGTGCCTTCTGAATGCAATGGATGTTCCATTATCTCCCTTTCAGTTTGGTGTTTCCATTTTTATTTTTTGTGGGGATCTACCTAATTTGATAATTGGTTGCTATAGCAATGTGAGGTTACTTCCCTCCTGTTTGTATGTTTGAAACCCATTAACCTTACAAAGAAAAAAAAGGCTAAAGGCTAAAAGGCTCAGAGACTTTGAGGAAGGATTCAAAAAGAAATGGCATGCAGTGAGATTTTAAAAATTCATCCAGCCCTTGTCGCACACTTTCAGCTTCTCAGCTCTGTCACACTGATGCTCTCGGTCGTGGTCCCTGGTGCCTCTAAATTCTGGCCTTTCTAAAAGGATGTGGATTTGTGTCCTGACAGGTCTGTTATGTACTCCTCTGAACACGTCCCTGCAGCGTTTCACTCACGCTGTGTCGTCTAGTTACGCTGCAAAAATGGCTGATTGGGAAAATTTTCAGTTGTGAATTATTAAAAGGATTTGCTCAGTTTGCAAGGCTTTGGTTGTCTTTGTCTAGTCCAAATAATCGCCTCATATCTATGCACTTCCAAATATTTGAACAGAGCTGCTCTGTGGCTCGTGCCGTCAGCATTACTGAGAGTTTCCTGTAGTGAGTGACAGCCACTCAAATTTAAAGCAAAGCATGCTGAGAGAAACAGCACAGCACTTTGCAAACGCTTAGAAAAATGAAGAGGAAAAAAATGAAGGTTAAAAACTTCTGGGATTGTGATAGGTTTAGAAAGTCATTTCTGAGTTAATCTTCTTTCAGGGCGCTTTCCTTAATAGAGCTTTGTACGTTAAATTCCAACATATTGCTTTGCACTAGACGGAGCCTCCTCCAAGGCACCTACTCTAATTGACTCATTTTTCTGAAGTAGCTGGAGACAAATGTTAAAGACTGCAGATGTATAGGTGTTGTGCATCAGAAGGAATCGGGAACTCGTAAAGTCGGCTTGTGTAGCCTGCATTTCCAAGTGGATAAAATCCCTTCGTTAATCCTTACGGCCTAAAGGCTGTCGTCTTTACTTAGAGTGGGAAAACGAGAAAGCGCTGACCTCAAGTTTATATCCAGCTATGCTTTTCAAATTAAAGTTGCTTTTTTTCTTGCCTATATGGCTAGGCCTTGCTTTTTAGTTTGTGTGTGTTGTCAGACACCAGTGGATGATTTCTCTATTCGTTCCTAATAGGGATTACAGAAAATAGCTGAAATGCAATGTGTGTATGCGTGCACATGCTCTCATCGTTTGAACTTTTCGTAATTAAAGACATGTTAAACGCGCGCTGTGAGGACGACTATCTGTGCTGATGCAACCTATAGGGAACTAATTTCACAGCTGTGAGAAAAATCAAGACTCCTTTAACTTAACTGCAACATTTCTGACTAATGAATATATTTGTATTACTTATTTACAATAACATAAAAGTATTTAAAAGTTTGTAAAGGAAGTATCATCGTTTTTTAGCATCTTTGTGACTGTACCAGTGACAGCCAAGAACCAGACAGCCAGCTATCTCCCAAGCAACACTTAAACGTCTGATCCAATTAAAAAGGTTTTCCACACTGATGTCAGTTTGTCTTAGAGGGTGTTGGATAAAGCCGTATTACATGACAAATATAGCCTCTTACCCTCTCGCATGCCTACTATAACTGTTAATATTAAACATGCCTGTCTACAGTGTTGCACACTTTGATTCAAATGACACCCCTCAGCTAACTCGTACCAATTCAGGGAGAGACTCTGTGTGACCAAGTGTGTGAAAGAAAGTGTGAGAATGTGTGCTCAAGTGTGGGTGGATGAATGTTAGCGTGTTTTGTGTTTGAACCTGCTGGTTGTTTTGCACGTGTACGGCTTTTCTGCTCATATGAGTTTCTTGATAAGTGGGTGTATTAGCTTCTGCTCTGTGTGTGTGTGTGTGTGTGTGTGTGTGTGTGTGTGTGTGTGTGTGTGTGTCTGTGTGTGTGTGTGTGTGTGTCTGTGTGTGTGTGTGTCTGTGTGTGTGTGTGTGTGTGTGTGTGTGTGTGTGTGTGAGTGTGTGTGAGTGTGTGTGTGGTCTCTTTAACTGTGCCATGATGCCTAAGGTAACCTGTTTCTGTGTTGACGGGTTGAAGCTGGGGTCCATAGTGTGATGTCATCTGTGGCGCGGTATGGGGGCAAAAATTAAGACTACTGCCCAGCAGCAGGAGGCTATGTAAATTCCGAAGCAAACTACTGATCTGATTAATGATAAGCTGGCGTCGGTAACTGAGAGGCTGGCGCTGCTTACTGAGGAATAGCACCTTTACCAGCATTACTAATAAATACGCTAGGGACTAGCAGCCCTCGGCTGGTCATTGACTGGTTCACACACTCTCGCTGCTGTCTATTAGCATGGATAGGCTAACGTTAGCCTGGACGGGCTGGTGTTAGCATGCGAGAGGCTTGCCATTAGCGTGCCTAGGCTGGCCACTAGCTGGATTTCCTACCTCCTCGTTGGACCATTAGCATGGATAGGCTGGCGTTAGCATCAGAGAGGCTAGCCATTAGTGTGCCTAGGCTGGCCACTAGCTGGATTTCCTACGCCCTTGATGGACCTTAAGCATGGATAGGCTGGCATTAGCATAGGAGAGGCTAGCCATTAGCATGTCTCGGAGAGTCACTAGTCAGCTAGTGGCCAGCCTAGGTACGCTAATGGCTAGCCTCTCCGATGCTAATGTCAGCCTATCCATGCTAATGGTCCGTCAAGGAGGTAGGAAATCCAGCTAGTGGCCAGCCTAGGCACGCTAATGGCTAGCCTCTCCAATGCTAACACCAGCCCGTCCAGGCTAACGCTAGCCTATCCATGCTTATAGACTGCAGAGGGAGTGTGTGAACCAGTCAATGACCAGCCGAGGGCTGCTAGTCCCTAGCGTATCTATTAGTAACGCCGGTAAAGGTGCCATTTCTCAGTAAGCAGTGCCAGCCTCTCAGTTACCGGCGCCAGCTTATCATTAATCAGGTCGGTAGTTTGCTTCGGAATTTATATAGCCTCCTGCTGCTGGGCAGTAGTCTTAATTTTGGCCCTCATACCGCACCATAGTCATCAAGGGGAAGAGAAGGAGACATTTGAATGGCTATAGGCCCCTACCACTTTCAGGAAGGGGATGAAAGCCACTTCTAACATTGCGCTGTAGGGCTAGTGGAGGGCTGCTGTGACGGCATGTTTTTGATATGTTCCTACTCAGACGATCTGATTTTAACTGCTCATTTGTCTCCTCAACCTTCATCAGGTTCTGCAAGAGCTGCTAATGACTTGTTTTAGTAAAACCTGCAGTGTTCAAGCGGAGAAACAGCGTCAGGGAACCGGCATTAAATTAATCGTTGCTAATGCTACAACAGGCTAAAACAATAGCTGGAAGTAGCGCAAAGTTGCTTTGCTAATCGCTTAGCTCCAACACACACAAAATAAACTCATTTTCTTTCCCCTCCCTCCTCTTCCACAGTAAGCTTAACGCTTACAGATGGAGTTTTTCATGCAGGCTAAATGGGAAGCTTGTGTCTTACACCTATCTCCTGCACTAGCTTCTGATGGAAAATATGATGACAGATCTACGTCACACTGTCACTTAACATTCATGGACCAACTCATTTTGACTCGTGACGAGGAATGCTGTTGTTTTAGTGTTCAGAAGACAGCAGAGAGTGTCTCAGCTAGAAGCAAACCATTAGCATTAGCAACTCCACCACACAGCAGAATTCCTCCAGACTTGTGTTATTTGTGCGAATAAAACATCAGCGTTGCAGAGCTAATAGAGTCAGTGGTGGAGTCATGTTGCTGTTAGCCAATAGGGGCGAGATGTCCAAATATCAAGAAATACGAAAATCAAATCCTGTCATCTGATGCTCAACACTGACGTGGCAATTTTCTACTTCCTGAAACTGATGCACCAGTGCTTTTTTCAGCACAGTAGGACTTACAAAGCATTCATTCCTACTAGTCCTCAGCAAATGTCTTGATTAAATGAGTTAACCAAACCTTTAAATTTAAAACTACGTACCCCCGATTTGTAGTGAGCTTTGAGAGGCTCACTGGCCCTAGTTTCCTGTCTCTTGTCCTTTTGCTCAGGCAGATTTTTTCCTGTTAGCTGTATGTTGTAAGAAGCCGGGGGAACTTTTGAGCATCTTGGGCTGTACTGCCTCAGGGTAGAATTGGACCACCTGGGTGGAGTGCCTCCCTCACGCTTATCATTCAAACGTGTTCTCACTCAGGGAACTTTTTAAAAATGTTCATTTAGTTCATGTCCTGGTCTTCTAATGGTGTCTTCAAACATATGCCTTGATTTTTGCTTCAAAGCCTTTTTGGGATTCCACTGAACCAGCAGGGATTTGTTGTCTTGCTCAAAGACACACAGACAGAATATGATGCAAGTCAGCCATGTGAAATGTACCTGTAGCATCTGCTGTGGCTCTTTTTTTATCATTTAAATCTGAAGCATGTTTGATTGTCTGGGGAATGATGACATTCAATGGGGAAAAGCATTTTTAATTGCGTACACATCAAAAGGCAAAGTCATTACACACCAGGTAACACTGTCTGTTTAATTTTTGCTTTGAAACATTAATGCCTCAAGAAATATCCTGTCAGGCAAGAACCTTACACCTGTTGGTTTATTTATTTATTTATTTATTTCAATTACTAGGGTCTGATGTTATTAAAATAATACATGATGAATGTGATCTTTTGATTGACTGCAGCCTTTTCCTTAACTGAGTCTGTTTCTACCTGGTTCGAACGTGTGAGCATGATGGTAATCCTGCTGAACTGCGTGACCCTGGGGATGTACCAGCCTTGTGAGAACATCGACTGCTCTTCAGACCGCTGCCAAATTCTACAGGTACACCACTGGTACACATTCGTCATTTGTGATTTCAATGTCATCACTCAATAGACAAAATAGATTTGTTTTATTGTCCTAATAACACGTAACTGTTTATTAAAATGTCCTTGTGTAACTCTTCTGAATTTCGTTCTGTGTATTGATTCATGATCATCTTCGATTTTCTTATTTAGCACAGTGTAGTAATTTGATGTTATTTTAGTTTTGGCTGACATGTTTCGGCGGGAATGTCCGCCTTCGTCAGAGCTGCCAGCTGTTTGTGGCGTCAAATACCTTGTAAACTCTGCAGTGAAACACACATAGGAGAAACAGGACGCCAACTCAAAACAAGAAAAACAGAACATCAAAAAGAGTGCGAGAAAGAAACAAAACAAAGGCACACAAGAGCAGCAAAACAAGAAGCTGAAAGTTTAATGAAAAAATCTGCGGTAGCGGACCAGTGCACAAGGGAAAATCACTTAATGAATTGGGACGACACACGGATCATAAACACGGAACAACAAAAATACAGAAGATGGATTAAGGAAGCGATAGTGATAAATGATAAATGACCCGCACCTGTATAGCGCCTCTCAGAGTAAGGACTCCAAAGCACTTTACACTACAGTGTACCATTCATCCATTCACACACTGATGGTGATGAGCTACGATGTAGCCACAGCTGTCCTGGGACGCACTGACACTGAGATAAGGAGACGCAGACACAACACCACAAACAGAGATGATGGTGTTTACACGTTGGAGGTTGGATCACACATAGGACTGTGTGATCAGCATGACAGATGCGAGCAGCAGAGGTCGACATCGCCCTCTGCTGCTCGCACATAAACGGAAGTGACGTCACAAACAGCTGGCGGCTCTGACGAAGGCGGACGTACCGGCCAAAACATGTCAGCCAAAGGAAAATAACATAAATTACTACACTGTGTTAAATAGGAAAAAAGAAGATGATTATGTCCTCATTTAATTCATGTTTCATTGCTGATTAATTTATTTCTATATATGATGCTGTCATGACTTTTGCCTCTTTCATAAAACAGCTCAGTGATTTGGCAGGAAAAACAGTCTTGCTAAGCAAATTAATACAGACCTAATTTGCATGTGAGGGAAACATTATTGATCATTTAAAGGGGACATATCATGCAAAACTCACCTTTTGCATCTTTTGTGTTATGTGGGTCTCTACTGCCCCTATAAACATTAAATGTGGAAATTAGCATTGAACCACCTTTCAGCTGCTGCTGGAAGATGTTCTGTTACTACCCCTGATTATAAAAACTTACAAAATGAATATCTTTGATGATTTTTATTTATTTAATTTGAAATTTGACAAAACTAGTATAAACAACAAAGTGTTATGCACAATTACAATAGGAGATTTACATTATGTATATAAAATTGGCCTCATGGTAAAAAAAAAAAGCAGTAAATGTATAACTTGGATCCAGAAGGAGAACACTAATATTACTTCCCTCATGCAAACGCATACAGAACACATGGATTAACATGTTCTTTCACTGCTCTTTGTCCACATCTACGATCCATCCTGTCAGTTCTGCTTCGCCTCCATCTCCCCTCTCTCTCTTCCTTCGCTGAGTCCATGGTACTTCTTTCCCTCGCTGATATCATGTGGTCTATTTGTTGCAGCAATATGACTTTTTCTTGAGCGGCACCTCAGCTACTTTCTCATCAGCTGGCAAAACACTGAATCCCTTCTCGCTCATGTCAGAGGTGTTTTAGTGGGTGTAACATCTATGAGAACACGTACGTCCTCAGTCTGTTGGTGGAAACAGCTTGTTGAATCATTCTGTTGTTCCGCTCTTCACATTTTCACACGGCTGCACACATATAGAAGAAAGCGCTCTGAGTGGATTGATTGAACTCTCTAAGGTGGAAGGGGGGTTGGCTGTTCAGTTGGAATTAATAAAGTTTCTACTGCAAGTATCCATGGACCCTGTTCAATATCAACATGGATTTAGTAAGCTACATACCCACAGTCAATATCCACCTTTTTAGAACATTTGTTGTTCAATACTGTACAGTTTAATGCTGGCCTCTCAGCAAAATCTATGAGCTCTAACAAATGTGGCTTAAATGCGACTAAAATACAATCGTTTTAGTGTTTACGTGGATGAAGGAGTTGATCAAACAGAATTATACTAAAATGAAAATCAATAGTCAATGTAATTTAGTTCATTAAGTTGCATAATGGCCTGAGGATCAGGTCTCTGCTTTTTGCAGATGATGTGGTCCTGTTGGCTTCATCAGAACGTGATCTTCAGCTTTCGCTGGAGCGGTTTGCAGCCGAGTGTGAAGCAGATGGGATGAGAATCAGCTCTGAGATCATGGTCTTTGTTCGGAAAAGGGTAGAATGCCTTCTCCGGGTCAGAGATGAAGTCCTGCCCCAAGTAGAGGAGTTAAAGTATCTCGAGGTCTTCTTCATGTGTGAGGGAAAACTGGAGCTTGACATCGGTAGGTGGATTGGTGCTGCATCTGCAGTGATGCGGGCGTTGTACCGGTCTGTCGTGGTGAAGAGAGAGCTGAGTCAGAAGGCAAAGCTCTCGATTTACCGGTCGATCTACGTTCCTACCCTCACCTATGGTCATGAGCTTTGGGTAGTGACCGAAAGAACAAGATCGCGGATACAAGCGGCCGAAATGAGTTTTCTCCGAAGGGTGGCTGGGCTCTCCCTTAGAGATAGGGTGAGAAGCTCGGTCATCTGGGAGGGGCTCGGAGTAGACTCGCTGCTCCTGCACATCGAGAGGAGCCAGTTGAGGTGGCTCGGGCATCTGGTCAGGATGCCTCCTGGATGCCTCCCTGGTGAGGTTTTCCAGGCAAGTCCAACCAGGAGGAGACCTAAAGGTAGACCCAGGACACGTTGGAGGGACTATGTCTCTCACCTGGCCAGGGAACACCTTGGGATTCCCCCGGAGGAGCTGGCCAAGTGGCTGGGGAGAGGGAAGTCTGGGCCTCTCGCCTTAGGCTACTGGCCCCGCAACCCGACTCCAGATAAGAGGATGAAAATGGATGGATCGATGGAAGTTGCATAAATGGAACATTTATGAAATTTACGGGGATTGATGTATAGAAACTACTGTACTTGTTCTTTCAACAACCTCAGTTTGGAGAAAAAGTGCATTAGTTCTGACTAGAATGACGAGCTAACCGCTAGTCATAATAGAGTCAGCTCCAAAGTGGATTTCTGCTGCTTCACAGTTTTAAATTGCATGAGGAAAGATGTACAAATTATACATAATACAAATTGACCATTTGATGCATAATGGTCACTACAGTGGACAGGTACTCAAATTTTTTTTTTTGTTTTTTTTACTATCAAGCACAGCTGTCAAAGACTTTAATGCATTTGAGCCCCTCCATTTGGACTTCAGTAAGTCAAGCCAACATATTTCATGTTTCAGAATGCACGCTGTCCACTGAGGTGGACATGTAATAAAGAATTTTTTAATTATTAAATGTTACAAAAATATTTGTTGAAAATATTTGTTTCATTCACACCTAAAAATGAATGAAAAAAAATTATTTCAAAAATCATGGTTGAAGATTTCATAATTCATGCATCAAAGGATTAAACCACAAATGCTACAAACCATTAAAATAGTGTATAAATTAACTAGCTTATTCATAATTCTGCTGCTAGAGTCTTAACAGGAACCAATAGAAGCGAGTACATCACTCCTGTTCATAAATCACTGTTTACCAGTAAACTACAGAAATTACTTCAAAGTGCTTCTACTAGTTTATAAATCACTTAATGGCATGGGGTCAAAATACGCATCAGATCTCCTCCCTGTACTTACTAGTGATGGAAATTCCAGCTCTTTTTAGAGAGCCGGCTCTTTTGGCTCAGCTCACCAAAAAGAGTCGGCTCTCTTGGCTCCCAAGTGGCTCCTCAGATTTTCAGTTGCGTAAAGTATATTTATCACCAAAAATAATGCAAAACTTAATGTAAAATGATTTAATAATGTAAAAAAATGCAATATATTTATCATTTATATGGATTTATTAACTGAACCTTTTAAAAAATCTCAACTTTCCGACTGTTGTCGTTCATTTTCCCACTGTCTTCATCGCACTCTCCTCTCTCGCTCGCCTTTTTCCTCCTCATCATTCCCTCCGCCTGCATGTGCTCTGCTGTCTATCTGTCTGAGTCGGATCCTCCCTCTTCCCCGCCCCTACTGCTCTCTGTGTGGACAGTCTGAACACGCAGTTACACATGTTGACCAATCGCCTGTGGCTTTTACCAAAGCAGGAGTGTGGGGGGATGGGGGGATGACGGCTCCCAATGACGAGGTGGCTCCGTCGTTCGCTAGAGCCGGCTCTTAGATCCGGTTCATTCGTGACCAAAACATCACTAGTATTTACTCCCAGCAGGGCTCTGAGATCCTTAGGAAGCAGTGAGCTGGTAGAACCCCGGGTCAGAACCAAACAGGGTGAAGCTGCTTTTCGCTACCATGCTGCACACAGATGGAATCAGCTTCCTGTAAGAACCAGCTGCTGTTAGAAGTTTTAAAGACTCACATGGTGACCCGGGCAGACAGAGTCTTTTCAGCTGTTGCTCCCAAGCTGTGGAACAATCTCCCTTTGATTGTTAGGACGGCCGCACAATGAATGATTTTAAGTCTCTTTTAAAGACTTATCGTTTTAGCTTGGCTTTTAATACTGAATGAGCAGAAATCCTCTGACTGTTGTATTGTAATTTCTTTTTATTGTTGCTATTTGTGTCTTTTTATGGTTCTTTTTGACAATGTACAGCACTTTGATCACTCCTTGAGTGCTTCATAAACAAAGTCTGATTAATTGATGGATTGATTGACTGATTGATTGTTTCCTTATGACCCAACTACAGTAATTTTTTAATCAAAATTGAAAATGTTCATGTAATTATCAGCCTTTGAATGACTATTCACCTTATTCCCCCTTTGACAATATCTTTTTCTGCTAATTTAATTGTGTATTTAAATATTGCTGTCACGTTA